AAAGAGTGGAGAAAGGACCCCTCATGCGGAATGGTCACGCCACACTCCCTTCTCCTCCATGTCTCCCTCCCTTCAGTTTTTTGGGCACTCATGTACATACACTCGGTGTGTTCTTCAAACCACCCAGTCAAGGACTTGTCCTACACTGTGGGCCATGGGGGACCTGACTGCCTTCGCCACCAAGCCATGGAGCTGGCCGGCCCTGTACATGTAAACTTTTTTTAGTTGTTGGTTTTTGTTTTGTTTTGTTTTTTGCTACAGGGTGCATGTGCTTACCAGAGTAAAGGAGAGACAGCGATAGAGAAAGCGAGAAATCACCCATTTGGGAGATAGCCACCCTGCAACCCCTTCTCTTCCACTCTCCTGTCAGGATTTTGGGCACACATATACACACTCCTGGTGTGATTTTCAAGCTTCCAGGTCTGGGACTCAAACTGCAAAGTCCAGCTAACTTAACCTCCAAGCCACCAGCTGGACCACTATACATGTAATTTTTTTCTTTAAGAGATACTTTTGCTATAGGGTGCATGTGCTCACTAGAGAGACAGAGAGACACAAAGCAAGAAATCACACACACACACACCCTGGGGGGATGGCCACACCACAATCCCTTCTCTTCCATTCTCCTCTCAGGATTGTGGGCACGCACGCACATGCAACCAGCGTGAGTTTCAAGCTGCTGGGTCCAAGACTTGAACTGCAATCGACTATGTGAGAGTCCAGCAACATGACCATTACACCATCTGCTGGCTGCACACATAATTTTTAAAAATAGACTTCATCCCTTGCTTTTTCTTCATTAGAAGAGCATGTTAAGGCCTAAAAGGTCTTTATTTTTCTTCACTAGCTGTGAAAAACTAGAGGTAAAAAATGATGAAAGTTAAACAAGAGGAGAGGAGAATTGGGGGTGGGGTGGAGGAAGGAAGAAGAGCCCGAGGACACCGAAAGGGGAAGAGAACAGCTACATGTAACATTGCATGTAATGCTCAGAATGGCACCCACTTTACAGGTGAGGAAGAGTAAGTGCCATCTCGAAGGCTGCAGAGTCTGCTTAGACCCTCGTTCTGCCCAATTCTGAGGTCGGTGCTTTCCTTTCCTGCAAAAATCAGGCTATGTCCCTCTTGCCAAGTGGCCTGGGTAGAGGATAGGTACACCCACTCTGAGTCAGACTCCCTGAGTTCAATCCTGGTCCTGGCATACTATTTAAGCCTGTGTGACCTTGAAGAATTATATAACTCTAAGGTTCCGTTTCATCATCATTAACATGGGAATGATTAGAAGAGAATGATCATTTCACCTGCTTGTGGAGGAGCTCAGATGATCTCCAGCTAACAAAGCTCTTAGAAAACTCCCTGGTGCGGCTGCTTGAACCAGATTCCTGGCTTCTTGCTTTCTTTCTCCAACAGCATGAGCTTCACCACCCACTCCACCACCTTCTCCACTAACTACCGGTCCCTGGGCTCGGTCCAGGTGCCCAGCCACCGGGTCCGGCCAGCCCGCAGCACCGCCAGCGTCTATGCAGGCGCCGGTGGCTCAGGTTCCCGGATCTTGGTTTCCCGCACCAGTATGGTCTGGGGAGGCTGGGGAGATGGGGGCCTGGCGATGGGGATGGCCGGGGGTTTGGCCAGAATGGGGAGCATCCAGGGTGAGAAGGAGACCATGCAAGACCTGAACGACCGCCTGGCCTCCTACCCGGACAGAGTGAGGAACCTGGAAACGGATAACCGGAGGCTGGAGAGCAAAATTTGGGAACACCTGGAGAAGAAGGGGCCCCAGGTCAGAGACTGGGGGCATTACTTCAAGACCATAGAGGAGCTGAGGGCACAGATCTTTGCAAACTCTGTGGACAGTGCCCGCATCGTTCTGCAGATAGACAATGCCTGTCTTGCTGCTGATGACTTTAGAGTCAAGTACGAGACAGAGCTGGCCATGCG